ACCAAATTCTCCAACATAGTTGTGCCCACCATATTGGCCACCAAACTGACTACTTGAGCCATATTGGGTGTTAGGCCCAACTTGATGAGTAAAATTATATTGACCATAATATTGGCTGATGGATTGGCTATTCGAGCCATAAGAATCATAGCCGTTGTAGTTCGTCGGCTGATAGGAATGTTGCCATTCCTTTCGGTCGCTCATAGAGTGTGTCCCACTGGGCGTGCCAAATTATGTTTCCCTCTTTTCGGCCGGGTAGGCCGATTGAAGGGGTTTTTGGTCCTTCTTCTTTTGGATGCGGGGCGTGCCACCACCAAGCCCCGAAATTGGGCTTGAATGGAATGTGAATGGATGGATGTGTTGCGCTTCTAACTTCTGATCAACCGATTGATCGGCCAAGCAAGGAACCTCTTCTTGGCCTAGATTCTTTCACTTTCTCGGGCTCGAGAATGGTTAGGTTTCGTACGGATGTTTTTGTGATTTTTATGGTTTAAGTAAAAATAATGCAATTAAACTAAATATGCGTATAAACGTAAAGACAAGAATTGAAATGCGATAAAATAAATCAAAGCGATAAGTAAAGCGAGAATGAAATAAAAGCAATAAGGACAATAAGAACGAAAAGGAAATAAACTTGAAATTAAATTTAATCGAAGTGCGATAACAATTACATGTAAAGGAGTCGAAATAAACTTGAATTGAAATGACAAGAAATATAAATTGAAACAAGAATTTAAATGACAATGAGAATATAAACTTACACTAGCAAAACGAAGAACTCACTACACTAGGTGCTTGAAAAATAAAGTCATAAGTCTAGGAAAAGAAAAGTGCGAGACGAAAGATAGGTTTGTTTGTCTGATGTTGTGTGTCTCTTGAATGAATGAGCAGCTCTCTATTTATAGAGTGGAATTTTCGTCATCTCCTTGGGAGGGAGGGAGACGGAGAGAAGAAGAAGAGAGAGAAGAGAGAGAAGAGAGAGCGCGAGGCAACCGAGAGAAAGAAAGAGAGAAGAATAAAAAAATAAAAAGGAGACACGTGTCTAGCAAGTATGGTGAGACTCGCTTTTGAGCGAGTCTGAATAGCATTCCTCTTATTATATATATGAACACAATTGTTTTGAAACTTGCATGTCGGCCTGAGCTTTCCTAGTCCTATCATATAATACATCTAATATATGGAAAATGCTAGGGAGACCAACTTGGGAGACCAACTTGGGTACCAACTCTCTAATAGAGGTGGAGCCCACCAATACAATGGGTCCCACCCTCTATTAGAGAGTTGGTATCCCAAGTTGGTCTCCCAAGTTGGTCTCCCTAGCATTTTCCATATATTAGATGTATTATATGATAGGACTAGGAAAGCTCAGGCCGACATGCAAGTTTCAAAACAATTGTGTTCATATATATAATAAGAGGAATGCTATTCAGACTCGCTCAAAAGCGAGTCTCACCATACTTGCTAGACACGTGTCTCCTTTTTATTTTTTTATTCTTCTCTCTTTCTTTCTCTCGGTTGCCTCGCGCTCTCTCTTCTCTCTCTTCTCTCTCTTCTTCTTCTCTCCGTCTCCCTCCCTCTCTTTCTTTTTTTAATTTTCTTTCTCTTTCTTCTTCTACTTCTGTCTCTATCTCTCTCCCTCTCTTCTCTCCTCCTCTTCTTCTTCTTGTATTTCAAAAATACAAACACAGCAGCCATTATATTTCAAAATAGTCGGCCGCATATTTATCTAGGGGTGGGCATCAATCCGGCCGAACCGATTATATTTGATTGGTTTGGTTTGATTTTGACAAAAGAAAAAGTCAACAGTTTGAAAAACCGAACCGAACCGGTTTGGTTCGGTTCAACTGCGGTTTGAGAGTTTTAAAAACTGTCCTAAACCAAACCGGACCGATTATAAATCAATTTATTATTTATTTAATTTAGTTTACATGTGGCAAGGTTTTAGTGGTTATTTAGAAGTGTACCATGTACCTTGCAACATGTGATTGGACTCCAAAACTACAACTCACGGACACATCTAACCGCCAGTGTTTCTCTTCCCAAGGTCTTCTTCTTGAGCCCCCCTCTCTCTCTTGCAAACTAAATCTGTCTTTTGAACTTTTTTTTTCCCTTCAAATCAACCAAAGCTTTGTGATTCAATTCGATCAAAACTCTCTAAGTGTTTATAATAGTTTGAGTTTTTGAAGTGTTGGTTGCTTCATTTTGTTTGTTTTTTTTCTTAGGTTTTGAATTGCATTCAATTTTTTTTTTGTATGTAAAAGACAATTGAGTGGACTATGAATATGAGCAAGTAAGTGCAGTTGACGTAACTAAGAATGTATTTGGTTCTATTTGTTTTATTGTTTACTAGCCCCTTGGCACATGCTCACGCATATGCCAATTGGTTTTCTTTTTTCTTTTTTCTTTTATTTTTAGAATTAAGAAAAGATAACATGGGTAGTTATGTTCCATAAATGTAGGACTTATTATCTGATTTTGTTTTTAATTTTAATTTTTTTAATATGAAAAAAGTGAATTTACCATATTATCCTCACTTAATTAATAATTTCAATTCTTAATGTTTAAATTAACCAAGGGCATTTTCTGGTATTTTGAATGTTTCACCATTCTCTGTCTTTTGCTTTATATATACTAGCCTCCCTGCACGCGCTTCCGCGCGTGCGAGAGGCTTTTTTTAATCGCGTGCTACGTGCGACTTCCAAAGTTTCGTAATTTTTTTTCCCGTAATTGTATTTATATAGATGTCCGTTTCAACAGTTTCATATTTTAATCGAGCACGTGTGATAAATAGTCATCTTAAAAGTTTTCCTTTATCGCCCGTATTTTTCTAAACATCCATCTTAGCAGTTTACACGCTATAAAAGAAAAAAAAAGAAACTGCTTTTGTTACACCCTTGGGCATTGAGGACTGCATTTGTTGCAAATAAATAAAATCTAAAGTTAAACTTTTTGGTGAAAACCAAGGTATCCCCCGCGCGATTGCGGGGACTAACCCTCGAGGTACTGTCGGGCGCAAAGCGGGGACCTCTCCCAACAAAGTCTGCTCTATTCGCAAGCGCCTGGGATCGAACCCAGGACCTCTTGTTTAAAGGATCCAAGCCCCTTCCACTTGGACCAACTCCTGTTGGTAATCTAAAGTTAAACTTAGTTGTAGGATAAGAAATCAAAAAAACCACATTGTAATAAGAATCTTTTGAGATCAAGCTTGCCCACGAAGTTCTATTTGCACTTAACTACTCTAATAGAACTTCAAAATAATAATTTTCTGCAAGGAAGAAGAGGAGAGCACCGAAGAAAAAGTTTTCTGCAATTGAAATGAACTGATGCTTGATCGAGGGATGATATTGGGGTGAAAACTGAAAGGAATTGCTCTTCACACGATCTGGCTGAGTTTTGTGGGTTTGTATTTTTAAAAAAAATTAAAATTTCAACACGTTTATTTTATCACTTTTACCCTTTTTTAATTAATTTTTTCTGCTTTAAATTAGTGGTGTTTTACTATTTCACCCTCTTTTAATTAAAATTGTGTGCTTTTAATTTTTTCTTTAACAAAGGGCATATTCAGAATTTTTGAATGTTTCACCATTCTCTGCCTTTTGCTTTATATATATAGATTTTAAACAATAAATAGAAATATAAAGTCACAATTAATGGAAATACAAAGTCATCACCTGGAAGGACTATAATGCCCTCAACAAATGAATCAAATGGCCGCCACATCACTATTTAGACAGAAATCTAACTGTAAGTCCCACATTGGCTATTTTAAATTAATAGTAAATCAGTAGCCAAAATAATTCAAGAGGTAAGTTCGAATTGCCTAATAGTTCAGGGCCAAAACGGCCAAATTATTATTTTGAAGTTCTATTAGAGTAGTTAAGTGCAAATAGAACTTCGTGGGCAAGCTTGATCTCAAAAGATTCTTATTACAATGTGGTTTTTTTGATTTCTTATCCTACAACTAAGTTTAACTTTAGATTACCAACAGGAGTTGGTCCAAGTGGAAGGGGCTTGGATCCTTTAAACAAGAGGTCCTGGGTTCGATCCCAGGCGCTTGCGAATATAGCAGACTTTGTTGGGAGAGGTCCCCGCTTTGCGCCCGACAGTACCTCGAGGGTTAGTCCCCGCAATCGCGCGGGGGATACCTTGGTTTTCACCAAAAAGTTTAACTTTAGATTTTATTTATTTGCAACAAATGCAGTCCTCAATGCCCAAGGGTTTATAGCCCGAGTGGTTAAAAAGCATCATTTGAATCCGTGTTCAAATTGCCCTTCCCCTATTGTGTCAAAAAAATAAGATAATCTTCAATGTGAGTTGAGTCTCAAAATTAACAAAAATAGTCCTCACATACCCCATCCATGTTTGGCCCTAAATATGGTTGCTATACATTGGATTTTTGGAAATAATTACAGCAGAAATGAGAATCATACACGAAATAAGAAAATTGCAGGATACGAAATAAAAAAATTAATTTAAAACTTTCATTCATTTAATTTTTATTTCTTTAATGTTCTTAAAAATTATTTTATTGTTAATTTTAAGTGAATTTGCAAAGGGGAAAACTTATTTCTGGAAGAATAATTGGAGTCTGGGTGTCTAGAGCAAATTCTAGGGTGTAGTATGAACCCCTCAAAGAAATAACAAATCTTCTTGATGTTGGCCCAATGACTTCTATCAACTAGCCTTTAGGAGACCCTTGGTCCAGAATTTAAAAATATAACAAAAAAAGAGAAAACAAAGTTTCAAAGAAATAACACGTGGCGACATCTCATTGGTTTGCCATACAAAACACAGAGTAATTTATTTGATCATCCTCTACAACCGCATATACACCTCCCTCACCTCCTAAACCACGCTCCTCCCAATTGTACACAAAACACTCCTCACTCCTTCCAAACGCGGCGAATCACAACGTACAATCATCAACAGCACAAAATACAAAATCAGGCTCACTGGACCCGACCGCAGAGGATTGAGAAACCAAAACCTGCTACACTACCATCTCGTAACGCCAACGATTGCCAAATATCGAACACAAAAACACACGCACGCACTCTCCCTCACATTTCAGAGAGAGAGAGAGAAGCCCCAACAACACAGAAGAAAGAAGCCAGTGTCATCTTTCACTTTCGTTCTCGTATAAAAAATTCACACACAGATCACATTCAAAACCAAACCGTAAATTCGAAAAGGGGAAGCACAGACGAGAATAAAATTCTTCCAATTCCCAATAAAATCCCCAATTTCTCTCAGATCCGGTGCCCTTTCTCTCTCAAATCCCCCAATTCTTCCGTTTCCGATAAAGATTGAGTTGGGGTTGGGGTCAATTCAATTTTCGAGCTATGGCGTGTATAAAAGGGGTGAATCGATCGGCATCGGTGGCGCTTGCCCCCGACGCGCCGTACATGGCGGCGGGGACGATGGCGGGAGCAGTGGATCTGTCGTTCAGCTCCTCCGCCAACATTGAGATCTTTAAGCTTGATTTTCAGTCCGACGATCGTGATCTCCCTGTAGTGGGTGAGTCCACGAGCTCTGAGAAATTCAACAGGTTGTCGTGGGCCAGGCCTACTGGATCGGGGTCTCAGGAGTTCGGGCTAGGGCTCATTGCTGGTGGACTTGTCGATGGGACTATTGATATCTGGAACCCACAAACTCTGATCCGGTAATTCTCTTTGAATTTGGCGTTTCTTTTTGGTTCGGATTGGAATTGAATTGAATTGAATTACGTTTGTGGACGGTCGGGTTTTCTTGGATGTTCGGAAAATGCGGGGAAGTAGATAATTTGTAAATTCTATAGTTTATGGGTGTGTGACTCTGATCTGAGTAATAGTCTGATTGGGGTGACGGGAAATAGGGGTTAAAGAGACTGGAAATTGTGGTTTACTGTTGTATGGTGATTTAATCTCATTTGGATTTGGTTTCTTTTTATCCAGTTTATTGTTATTATTGGAGTGAAATGATAGTTTCGGCTAATGGGAATCCAAATGTAGATAAATGTGAATTGGGATTTTCATGATTTCTATGAAGGGTAACTTTTGCAGAGTTGATTTCTATAAATAAGATGGAGGGAAATAAAGGATATACGAGAGTCATGGTTTCTGACTTCTGAGAAACAAACGGATTACATTAATTGTATGTTATGATACTCTGTTCGAATGCACACTTTAGGTAAAATTTGGTTCCCTGTATACTGTTAACAGTATGCTTGGCTTCTAGGGAGGACAAATGGGTTTAATACACTTGAAATAACCAAATCGAGGTGCTGGTTAAATACTTCGATTTGATTATTTTATTGATAAAATAAGTGAAAATTTTAAGGCCTTGGCAACAAATTGGTTGCCATTAAGATAGATCCGGAATGATGTCTCGTGTCTACTCCACTGATGATAAATCAATATTTCTTTGAAGTTGGTGGTTTCTTGAAGGTTTTTCAAGATTCTAGAGGAAGTATTTTCTAAGATAATATTGGTGAAGCAAACAGATCCTTATGGATAAGAACCAAAACCCAAATGATTTTATGCATATTTCTTTTATAATTTCATTTATTCATTCATGCAAATTATTGTGGAGCAGCCCTTGAATTTTAATAGGATGTGCGTGGAAGTGATTAATATGGGATATAAATATGATTAGTGCTTGGGCATAGAAGACCTCATGCTTTTGAGTATTTTCAGTTCTTTTTTAATTTGTGTGTAGTTTTTAGCAGTGTATATTTACTTGAATAATTTGTTATTTGACTCAAAACTCCTGTTACTTTTAGTTGTTTTTCGAATATCACACATAAGAAAATATTAATGGTTATTTCTGCCACCTAGTTTTGTGAAACATTTTCTTTTATATTTGAGAAAGTATTTTTGGTTTTCTTCAGAAAGGCCTTAGTTTTTATTATTTCTTATCCTTAGTCCTGAGGCAGGTGTAAGTGCTTCGGTTGGGCATCTCACAAGACATAAAGGGCCTGTAAGTTTTCTTCTTTTTCACCATGCATGTCTTTTTGCTGGTTCTTTCAATGCTTTGGAATCTGATGATTGGGTAGGATATTTTCTCAAACTCTAAAGTTTTAGTTTTGTTATTTAATTCCAGGTGCTTGGTCTTGAATTTAATGCAATTGCACCAAATTTACTTGCATCTGGGGCTGATGATGGTGAAATTTGCATCTGGGACTTGGCCAATCCTGCAGAGCCATCTCATTTTCCACCTCTCAAGGTTTGTGGTTATTAGTTGTTTTAAGTTAATTGGAAGTAGATTGCGTACATTTCCCACTAGTCTGTGTTGTATGGCTTATCCTCAATTTTTGTTGTAATTAATTCTCTTTGGCCATTCAGTTTTTTAGTTCATCCCGGCTTTAGAACCTTTAGTTTAATTGCCATACTTCACTTTTACAGTCTACATGGAATGCAGTTGTATATACTTTTAACTACCGCTTTTGACTTTTGACTTGTACGCATGTATGTACATTTAATATATCTGTGATTTGGTAGAAAAAAGTAATAAAAATACTAGTTTTTACAATTTACATGACAAAGAATGAGAAGCCAATTGGATGTAGAATGCAATATACAATCATAATAAGCAAAGAGAAGTGGACAATTGGAAAGGATGCAAGTCCTTTTCTTCAAATTATTCTCATACCTTATGGAGGCATATCTCTATTGTGACTGCATTCCTCAGGTTATAACAGAAGTCTGTAATTAGACCCCTCTTTCTGTCCATCTCTGCTTGAAATGACTTTTTCTTTCACATTTTCTCTAGTCATAAATCTAGATGGACTTCATCTGATCCAAATTGTGAGATCTTTATGCAGGGTAGTGGTTCTGCTGCCCAGGGTGAGGTTTCATTTTTATCTTGGAATAGCAAGGTCCAACATATATTAGCATCCACGTCATATAATGGTTCAACTGGTAAGGAATATTCTTTACTCTTGAAGTTATCTTTCTTGACTCATTTTATCTAATTTGAGACTTTAATATTTTATATTTTTCAGTGATTTGGGACCTAAAAAAGCAAAAGCCAGTGATAAGGTACTTTGTTTGTTTTCTACTGTGAACTAGTATTATAAAATCTCAATGGTTATCTGGAATGCCTACTTCCATTACCTAACTTGACCTCCTTTGACTGGCAGTTTTACAGATTCAGTTAGAAGACGGTGCTCTGTTTTGCAGTGGAATCCTGATATTGCCACTCAGCTTGTTGTTGCATCAGATGAAGATGGTTCACCTGCTCTGAGGGTAATAACTTTGTAGATGCTATTTTATTTCTTTTGTGGTCAAATGTGTTAACTTCTCAGTTCATGCAGCTCTGGGATATGCGTAATGTAATGTCACCAGTTAAAGAGTTTGTGGGGCACACAAAAGGTAACACCACAGGCAAAATGATTTATCTATACCAGTTATTCATGATTATTTCTTTCTTTTTGTTTGGCAGTAGTTCATGTTTTAAGGATGTTATAATTTATTTTTACAGGATTCATGTTATATAATTGGAATTTCTGTTTTACTGTGGTTTAATAAACCATTTTTAAAACCCTAGTGCTAATTTTCATTGTTGTTGAAGTTTGAATTACTTGACGTAGGAACAGTTATCAGAGGTGAGCTGTTAAAATCATTCTTTGCAACTTGATATGCTTTGAGATATTCAGCCCTTTCCGTTGGGGTCTGGAATTAAAGTGCATTAAAAAATGAAAAGACAAATGAGGCTATTATGATCCTGGAAGGAATTATGAAACTGAGGGCTTGTCAGATTCAATTCATTTATTGAAGCCTCAATATGCTAGTCTACTTGAATTATCTTTTCCAATTGCCATAGTACATAGATTGCCCCATTTTGGTTATTGTCGGTCATTTTTTTGTGAAAGTGGGGGCGGGAGAAAGCACCAAGATCTTCGGAGTGCAACTGAGATACCACCTATATGTGTAAATATACTTGCTTAGTGGCTGTTTTTGTTACAGCTTAGAGAATTTGTTAAATGATGCAATTAAAAGAATTATGGGGGATGGGATTTCCTGTGTGTGTATTTTTATAGCTTTTGTTTCTATTTCTGCTTTTAGGAATTTTTGTGTCCAACACATGATGTTTGTAGTTGAACATGCACTCAGTTTGCAGTGATTATTATTGTTGGATACTTTTTGCTGATATTATTACGATTGGAAGTTAATTGTAAACTCTTATGATTATTTGACGTCCACATCTTACCCCAGGTGTAATTGCAATGTCTTGGTGTCCCAATGACAGTTCTTATCTGCTTACATGTGCCAAGGATAATCGAACTATTTGCTGGGACACAGTTTCTGCAGAGGTATGGTCTTTAGCTGTTCTTCAATGAGGCCAATAATTTTTGTACTGCACCTTGTCTACACTTTATTTTTTCCTCTCCTGTTGGTTTCAGTTTAATTTGGACTACCATTTTCTGACTGATGTTTTTTATTCTAAATCGGTCCAGATTGTCTGTGAAGTGCCAGGAGGCACCAACTGGAATTTTGATGTACATTGGTATCCAAAAGTACCTGGAGTGATATCGGCATCTTCATTTGATGGAAAAATTGGAATTTACAATATTGAGGTATGCTTGGGTTCTTATCATATACCTGAAATATTTTACCTTATGAGTAGTGCGGAACGTCATGGAATGTAGATTACTAAATTCCAAGTGTGAAATGTTGAACAATATTTGGTGAATGGTTAATGGTACAATTAATGATTGATGGTTATTGCATATGTGCAACAAGATTTTATGGTTAACAACTGTTACTGCATTATCACACCGAAAATTAAAATTTGTTTGAAGCATTAGGTACATGTACTCCTGTTATTTTACAATTTGTTTCAAGTATATTGGAGGTATAATCTGCACAAATATGCATGTGTGCGTGCCTGTAGCTATGCTATGCAATGTAGTTAATTATGTTTAAATGTTTTTTTTTTCTTTTACAGGGTTGCAGTAGATATGGAGTTGGGGAGAGTGATTTTGGTGGCGGTAATGCACAATTAGGAACCATTGCATTGACAAGTTATTTATTTATTTTTGCCACTAACAACAGTATTTTGTTTTATTTTATTTTTTAAATGAAGCACTAACAACAGTACTTGATTAGTTGTGTTTTGCCTTTCTTACTTTGTTTCTTTGCCCGCAATCACTTTTTCATGCAGCAATAATTAATATTGATTCTTTAATGTTTGGGGTCGGACTAGGTTTTCTTTGTACAAATAGGAGAATCCTTAGTTTTTGAAATAGTTAAGATTAGAGGCGTTGTGTTTAGGTTAGAGAGTTTCTCCTTCCTCCATTCAGATATCTTTTTGCTTGGGCTCAGCTTTTGTGCCTTTTTTTTTAATTTTATTTTATTTTTGTTACAGTTTTTTCTAGATGGTAGGTTAAGTCGGAAAATGAATGCAGAAGGGGTGTGTTTGAAAACCCTTCCTAGTTTTTTCTAGATTGCATCATTGTATTAGCTCTAGGTTTCTGAAAACCCTTCCTTCAAGTTGTAAGAATTTGAATGGAATCATTATCTAAGATATATAATTCTTTTTAATCACTTAGAAGATAAAAAAATTAGTTGTTATTCCAATAAACCAATAATAACTTGTACTACTTTCGATTCTTGCCTTCTTTTCTTTGGAGGGTGTGGGAGTTTTCCTACTTTTCCTCTTTCTTACTTGCATTAATTGCCAATTTGGGAATATTTCATATGGATAAAAATTGCTAATTTTGGAGAGATGTGCGTTATTGAAAAATTTCATGTTTTATCCTCTCTATGCAGGACCTCTGAGAGCTCCAAAATGGTATAAGCGGCCAGTTGGTGCATCTTTTGGCTTTGGAGGCAAAATTGTGTCCTTTCAGCCTAGTTCATCTGTTGCAGGTGCTTCGTCTGGTGTTTCGGAGGTATGCTTTATTGGCATGCTCCCTGTGTCTTCTGTTATGATGCATTTTATAATTCATTTTCCTTCTTTTATCCAGGTTTATGTACACAGCTTGGTTACTGAGCATAGTTTGGTGAATCGCTCATCTGAATTTGAAGCTGCAATACAAAATGGGGAAAAGTCTTTACTTCGGGCTTTATGTGAGAAGAAATCACAGGAGTCTGAGTATGTTATTTACGACAAGAAATAGTTTTTTTATGAGCTTCGAGAGCGTTAACATCTCTTGAAATTGATTCTATTTTATCCTGGTTAACATTCTCTTTTGCTTCTGTTTGGATGATTTTTTTGACAGATCTGAGGATGACCAGGAAACATGGGGCTTATTAAGGGTTATGCTTGAAGATGATGGGACTGCAAGGACAAAGCTGATCACTCATCTAGGGTTCAGTATACCTGAGGAAACAAATGAAAGTGTTCCAGATGATCTATCACAGGAAGTCAATGCGATTGGGCTTGAGGATACTACAGCTGATAAAGTGGGCCTGGGGAGTGATAAGGAAGCCACCATCTTTCCTACTGATAATGGAGAAGATTTCTTTAACAATCTTCCTAGCCCAAAAGCTGATACTCCTGTGTCAACCTCTGGTGACAAATTTTCTGAGGGGGATACAGTTCCTGTTGCAAATGAAATGCAGCAAGAGCCTGATGGACTGGAGGAGAGTACTGACCCATCATTTGATGAATCTGTTCAACATGCTTTAGTTGTCGGAGATTATAAGGGCGCTGTTGCAAAATGCATTTCAGCAAATAAAATGGCTGATGCTCTAGTTATTGCTCATGCTGGTGGAGCTTCGTTGTGGGAGAGCACACGGGATCAATATCTTAAAATGAGCCATTCACCTTACCTTAAGGTATGTAAAGTCCACTTGTTTCCAGTGAAGCACTTCTTGTTTCATATTTGATAATATATGAATCTGGATGAAAAGATGTTAACGATTGATTATAATATGTCTTATGATTTTGCCATAATTATGTTGAAATTGAAGGGTTGTAACCTGGCTCATTCCTACTTTCAGATTGTTTCTGCGATGGTGAGCAATGATCTTTTGAGCCTTGTTAATACCAGACCCCTAAAATTCTGGAAAGAAACACTTGCTCTTCTCTGTAGTGTAAGTTTCCCAACTCCTGAAATCAAAATAAGGCCATGACACTTTGTGTCATTGATTACATTTTTTTCGTTAAATTGATTCTCATAAATTGTGCATTATAAATGGCGGAGTTGAAGTTGCAAAAAATTTTCAACATTTGTACCGTAGTAGTGTGTTTGGTTATTTTACGCATTAATCATCGTAAACTGTACTCTTAATATCTGTATCATGAGACAAATATCATGAGCAAGTTAACTTTGAAACTGCTGCATCTTTTAATTGATTTTTGTGATCCTTTTTTGCATGAATCAACAGTTTGCATCAAGAGATGAATGGACTGTGCTTTGTGATACACTTGCTTCCAAACTCATAGTTGCTGGCAATACCCTGGCGGCAACTATTTGTTATATATGTGCGGGGAATATTGATAAAACCGTCGAGATTTGGTCGAGGTGTTTGACTACCGAACATGAGGGAAGATCGTACGTCGACCTTCTTCAGGTAATCTTTTCAAAGTGGATTTGAATCATGTTCCTCTTGGCCATGAGGTTAACAAAGTCTTGTTATTTTGTTTAGGAATTAATGGAGAAGACAATTGTCCTTGCCCTGGCTTCTGGGCAAAAGCGATTTAGTGCATCTTTGTGCAAACTTGTTGAGAAATACGCAGAAATTTTAGCTAGTCAAGGTCTTTTAACTACCGCAATGGAGTACCTAAAACTCTTGGGTTCTGATGAATTGTCACCTGAACTGGTTATCTTAAGGGATCGTATTGCTCTTTCTACAGAACCTGGTATGTGCTGTTCGAAAAGTTAGTGATGTGGTGTTTTAATAGTGTATTTTTTTATGCTGGAAATTGCAATATTTCCTCAAACTTTTGTTGACATGATCAGCAGCCATCAATTTTGACTAACGGTAGCGGCAATTAATCTTATCACAGGTGGACAAAAGTGTTATTGTTTCAATATGCATAAAACTTGGTGGTTAAATCTCTTAAAATGCAAAATCCCGTTACTTGTTACCGCATTATTTATTTTCACTCCATGTTATTTGTTGCGTTATTGCTGCAGAGAATGTTTCCAAGAATGCAGCATATGGAAACCAACCTGCAGCAAGTGGGCCTGTATATGGGGCTGATCAATCTAATTTTGGTGTGGTTGGGGCCTCTTCTCCATATTATCAGGTGTTCATAAAGTTACTTTTCACAGTGATTTTATTTTCTTATGATTTGTTGTTTGTTGCCAAATCTGCAATGTGGATTAATTTTTTGCTCTTAAAATGGTTAGGAAACAGTGCCATCACAGTTGCAACCAGGTGTTCCCGGAAGTCAATATGGAGAAAGTTATCAGGAACCTGGTAATTCCCCGTACGGAAGAGGATATGGCGCTCCTGCCCCATATCAGGCAGCATCCCAGCCCCATATGTTTCTTCCTTCCCAGGCACCTCAGGTTCCACAGGTACTTTTTTGTGTGAGGGTCTCTTTGTATCAAGAGTAATTAATTTGGTTGTAAAAAGATAGCATTTGTTCAGTTTTTGTTATTAAGAAGTCACTGGTCCACTTCCTACATTTAATGTATATGGATCTGGTTCATTTGACTTTTGCATGGGGTTTGCTTGTAGGAGAAATTTTCTGTGCCTCCTGTTTCCTCTCAGCCTGCAGTGAGGCCTTTCATTCCTTCAACTCCTCCTGTGCTGAAAAATGTGGAGCAATATCAGCAGCCAACATTGGGTTCTCAGTTGTATCCTGTCAGTAGATCTGCATTTGATGTGAAATTAAGTATCAGAAACGATTTTGCATGACTGTTATCCTAAGGTTTTCCTTGGTGTTTCAGGGAACAACCATCCCTTCTTTCCAACCTATGCAACCGGGGCCTGGTTCAGCTGCTCCTCTGACATCACAAGTGGCTCCAGTTCCTGGAAATAAGCCACATGTTGTAGCTCCCTCCCCTCCACCAAGGGGATTTATGCCAGTTACTAATTCGGGAGTTGTTCAAGGGTCTCATCCGGGTTCACTGCAGCCACCTAGTCCTACTCACCAAGCTCCGGCTCGAGCTTCCGTGGCGGCAGCAGCTCCACCACCCACCATACAGACAGTTGATACATCCAATGTTCCTGGTAATTGTAGTTTTCATTTATGTTGGGAAAGTTTTCTACTTCTCTGCAGCATTCCCTTGCTCCTTCCCTCTGTTTATTTACTGTTAAAGTTTTCTTCTTGGTGGCTGTTCTTTTTTCCACGTTGAATTTCCAACCTGTGGTTGTGTAACAATCTTGTTTTATTTGTGGATAATGCACTACAGCCCAACAAAAATCCGTTATCGCAACATTAACAAGACTTTTCAATGAGACATCTGAAGCGTTGGGAGGTTCTCGTGCAAATCCTGGCAAGAAGCGTGAAATAGAAGACAATTCGAGGAAGATAGGTGCATTATTTGCCAAACTCAACAGTGGGGACATATCTAGAAATGCTGCTGATAAGCTTGTTCAGCTATGCCAGGCATTGGATAATGGTGATTTCGGTAGTGCCCTGCAAATCCAGGTACATTTTTGGAAACTTTAGGCTCCTAATGTATTTTTTCACACCATGAATGGCTGAGCTTTACTATTGGTTTCTTTTGTTTATGCCCGCTATCAGGTGCTTCTTACCACTAGTGAATGGGATGAGTGCAACTTCTGGCTTGCAACCCTTAAGCGGATGATCAAGACAAGGCAAAATGTGAGACTAAGCTAAGAAGGCTGAGATTCCCAAGAGTCTGATTGTTTGGTTCCGGAATTTTTTTCATTCTGGTTATGCTTGGCGCACGGGACCGTATGTTTTTATGCATACAAGAAGGGCATCTCTAGATTTTGGCTCAAGGGTTTTGACTAGCTGTCAATTAACTTTGGAAGGAAATTAGTTGGTTTGAAAGCAGTTAGTGAAATAGTCTTTGCACATTAAAAGACTTCTTGTTGACTCTTTCCATTTTATTTTTGTAGTACTTAGAGATAGCATTGATTTTTTGTTTTATTTTTTGTTTTATATAAATTCATAGAATGTTTACCGAGCTGCTTCAAGCTTTCTCTGGTGATCTGGTATCATTTTTGCCATGAGCATGAAATTGTACCACCTTTGTGTTTTCATTGTATGAACACAAAATTAGACTGATGACTTCAGTTTTGTCGAAAATGAATGACCGACTGTATCAGTTTTATTTTTTTGGGTCCGAAAGTTGTGTATCAGTTTATAAAGAAGAATTTGCTGTGAATTGTGGTTGCCCAAATGATTTATAATGGGTTAGGCCTGTTATTCATGGCAGTGGACTTGTAATATATTGTCATGTTTTCTTCCATGATTATTTTGTGGTTTCAAAGTACCATGTGCTTTGTAAATTCGAAAAGAAAATTGTGATTGTGATTCACTTTCACAGGGCCAAAGTCTAAGAAAAGGAGATGCACCTTTAGTAAGTAATCATTTTGTTTGATCTCTGTTATATTCTATTATCAAGTAAAAAATTTAGAGTAAATGATTAATAAAAGGTCCCTTTTCCAGCCTAGAAATGTTTGATTGGTTCAGCCATATTCATCCAACGGCGGATACTGCCTATGTACCTAGTAAATAGGTGTACCCAAGAAAATTCACACGGCGTGTACTTACTAAATTCTCTCCACTGTATATTTATTTATTTTTTTTAATCGAAATGAATCTACAAGACAACCAAAACATAAGAATCTGTGAATGTAATTTGGTAATTGGGATTTCGGTGATTTACAGAATAGTATTATTGAATACCAATTGATTTTTTGGTCAGGGTGATTCTGTTTTTTTTTTCTTTTGAATATTTGCTTTTCAAATTAAAGGGGTACAATTGGAATTTCCAGATAAATTTGTATGAATTGGGGTGTCTAAATATATTTCATGGGTGTCTTTAGAAGTATCTACAAAAAAAAGTTTAACGGAAATGGATGGAGGTAGCAAATTGACGCCAAAATTGAAGTCTTATGATATAGTTTTTTTTAAAGGAAAAAAAGTACATATTTTCAGCTTTTCAACAAGACATTTTGCTCCAATAAAAGTAGTGCACTTTTAGCCTTTCCAAAATATGGTTGAATGAATGATGTGCTGAATTGCTACGGGCAGTCCAAGAATGCACATATCCCATAGAATATATCATCTTCATTTTCTATCAAGATTTTTTTTAAAAATTTTTCACTTTCAACAGAATTTTAAGCTAACTTCCATCAATGTCATTTGGTTGGTTTGTCAAGATTTGATGTTTTTCCCCATCTTGGTAGAAGAACAATCCGTGATGATGGTATCCCTTTACCCTCTCCAAAAGTAGCATTTCTTCTCATGATTTTGTTTTCAAAGAAGAAAAAAGAACAAAATTGTAATAATCACTAGGCCCATGTAATGATTTCGTAATTTTCTTTTTACACATTTAATTCATGGATATATTTTTGTTTGAACACATGGAGAAATTAACTAATAAAACATCCTAGTGAATTTTACATTAATTGTAAAATTTATAAACCCAAGTTTTTGGAAATTAATCAAATGGTCTCATCAAGGCCAAAAGATTGTCACACGTTAGGTTACCAGATCAAGTCCGTTTTATAACCATTTCGGTTTTCAAGTTTAAAAAAGAGAAAAGAGAGAACAAATAACTCTTTTAATTATTTTTCAATTAAGAAAACTGATTATTGTTTTAATTTTCCTTTTTATTCAAATATCAGAATTTCAAACGAGAGGCCGAGAGGCACATGCAATAAGAAAAAAAGTGAGCTGTAAAGCCTTGACATATGGAAAGGAATATAATTGCTTCTACTTGATGCTAAGAGCTAAAGACACAATTCCTCTTCTAGGTCTTTTTCAGTTTTTTTTGAAACCATGTTTTTTCTTTTTTGAGCCAGAATCCTTCCTAGTGGTCTTCAATTTGTCTGTACTTAAACTGTTGTTTTATTCATTCCAAATAGGAAACAAACAATAGCTATGCCACAACTACAGTCCACAGAATTTAAAATAGTGATTAATAAAGAGAATGTTTGGCTGCAGCAATAAGTTAACTTGGTTTCTGTGCAGTTGTTGGTGTTGTCCTTTTCTTGAACAGCAGAGTGCTCCCGGAAAATTCGTCAATCAAGGATCAAGGTTTGAATTAGTTTATGTTAAGCCTTAGATGAAAGGGTATGTGAATGTGAGTCCGTTTTGAACATATACTTTTTTATTTTCAGTTTTACTAATCGGGGATCGGAGTTTTGAACTTGAAACTTCTTTTTAATATTTGAAAGAGAACTACTGTTAAACTAAGAATTAGTTAGTAATTTATTTGAAAGAAAATAGATTGTATAGAATGATCGTAGCTAAACCAATAATATATGAGTAATACTAAAGGATAATATTTTGGACCATCTTAGGCGACATTATATGACAAGTGATGAGTTTACGACAATAATAATTAATGTAACAAGTAGACTCTCATTTCAACATAATATCGCTAGCTAGTTAATGTAATCGAAAGATGCGTTATGAATATGAAAAATACTTAAAACCCCAATTTTTTGTTATGATTTTTCACTTTCAACAGAATTTTAAGCTAACTTCCATCAATGTCATTTGGTTGGTTTGTCAAGATTTGATGTTTTTCCCCATCTTGGTAGAAGAACAATCCGTGATGATGGTATCCCTTTACCCTCTCCAAAAGTAGCATTTCTTCTCATGATTTTGTTTTCAAAGAAGAAAAAAGAACAAAATTGTAATAATCACTAGGCCCATGTAATGATTTCGTAATTTTCTTTTTACACATTTAATTCATGGATATATTTTTGTTTGAACACATGGAGAAATTAACTAATAAAACATCCTAGTGAATTTTACATTAATTGTAAAATTTATAAACCCAAGTTTTTGGAAATTAATCAAATGGTCTCATCAAGGCCAAAAGATTGTCACACGTTAGGTTACCAGATCAAGTCCGTTTTATAACCATTTCGGTTTTCAAGTTTAAAAAAGAGAAAAGAGAGAACAAATAACTCTTTTAATTATTTTTCAATTAAGAAAACTGATTATTGTTTTAATTTTCCTTTTTATTCAAATATCAGAATTTCAAACGAGAGGCCGAGAGGCACATGCAATAAGAAAAAAAGTGAGCTGTAAAGCCTTGACATATGGAAAGGAATATAATTGCTTCTACTTGATGCTAAGAGCTAAAGACACAATTCCTCTTCTAGGTCTTTTTCAGTTTTTTTTGAAACCATGTTTTTTCTTTTTTGAGCCAGAATCCTTCCTAGTGGTCTTCAATTTGTCTGTACTTAAACTGTTGTTTTATTCATTCCAAATAGGAAACAAACAATAGCTATGCCACAACTACAGTCCACAGAATTTAAAATAGTGATTAATAAAGAGAATGTTTGGCTGCAGCAATAAGTTAACTTGGTTTCTGTGCAGTTGTTGGTGTTGTCCTTTTCTTGAACAGCAGAGTGCTCCCGGAAAATGCGTCCATCAAGGATCAAGGTTTGAATTAGTTTATATTAAGCCTTAGATGAAAGGTTATGTGAGTCCGTTTTGAACATATACTTTTTAGGAGTTTTGAACTTGAAGCTTCTTTTTAATATTTGAAAGAGAAATACCGTTAAACTAAGAGCTAGTTAGTAATTTATTTGAAAGAAAATAGATTGTATAGAATGATCGTAGCTAAACCAATAATATATGAGTAATGCTAAAGGATAATATTTTGGACCATCCTAGGCCACATTATATGACAAGTGATGAGTTTATGACGATAATAATTAATGTAATAAGTGGACTCTCATTCCAACATAACATGTGGTGGAGGATACCAAGAGCTTGTTGACACAAGTCACTGGGAAAGGTTTTACCCATATTCATCGTACTGCCAATAGTGTGGCTCATCGTTTAGCGCATTTTGCCTTGCATATCGGGAGTTATCTATACTGGTTCGAGGAACCCCCTTATTTTATTTCTGATGTACTGTACGAGGATTGTAACTCGTGACCAAGTAATTTCCTTTGCCCTTAATACGAGTTCAAACTTCTTGTATTAGCTTTTTCACATCAATAATATTCTATCGCTTATCATAAAAATAAAAAATAAACATGTCTAGCTAGCTAATGTAATCGAAAGATGCGTTATGCATATGAAAAATGCTTAAAACCCCAATTTTTTGTCCCAACCTATGTGACATTTGATAAGCTTATCATCTCATATTATAAAACTGAACGTGATAGATTGTCATACAATTATTAGACCGCATTTTACATAAGTAGGATTTAGGTGGCTAATAAATTTGGTAAATTTAACTTGATACTGTTTCATATGATTAGGGAAACGAAGGGGAGGAAAAGTGAAAAGTAAAGATGCTCTGAGGTTAAAGATCACAGATGAGACCAATCTAGTCCATTTTCATGATGGAGAAACAAAGCAACAGTGCGATACTTTAAGAGAGTCAAGCAAGAATTCAAAGTGATGATCTAAGTTCAAACTTCCAATATATTCCTAATAAAAGATAATTTTGTACTGTCGACCTACTTTCAAACCCATCTAGAAGCCACTAATTGACTAATAAGCTGTTCCAATATATGATCATGAATATAAGCAGAGGTAACTTCCTAGATGAAAATATGATCTCTTATCAGAAGAGTGACCTCGTCGATTTAATGGATATAAATACGTTCGATTTATACACGTTCTGATGTGATACGTATTTGCATAAATAAAAAATCCAACTTCATCATGGTATTGGGTGTTTACTTTAGGTCAAAGATTAAGAAAAATTCGGAAACTAGTGATTGGAAATGTTAATGATTTAGTTAGTTTCAGATTGCAATGATGTGCGGAACAAATCAATGGAATGATGGAAATTTTTAACCTGCAAGATTGGTTGTTAAAGATGTCCATTATATATGACAGGCTTTCAACTTTATATATTTGTTACATTTTTTATTGGTCCATCATGGCTTATGTTACAAGAATATGTACATTTCATCTAAGCCAACCTCTATTTTTGTTCCTTTTTCTTATGCTTTTCTTTTAGAGAGTGCTCTTGTATTAAATACTTTTTGTTAAAAACACAGAAAATATTGAATTAAAAATCCAAGTACATCCTGTATATTGATACGATTTCCTGAGGAAGGATTTGCTGAGTATTCTTCATTTCATTACAGAACCAAGAAGCAGACTCCGATGATCATATATTCCAAAATCTACAATCAACCACACAAGAAGCTATTTGGCAGAAGCCTCACAAATACGCTGCTGCAGCTTTTGCTTGTCGAACAGTAGACTCTCCGAAACGTCTTGACATATGAGAATGTAGGAGACATTTCTCAGAAGTACCCAAAACAGATTGCAAGTTCTTCTGTGCATCATAAACAAGAAAGTACAAACTTTGACGCCCTATGCAACCGGCTACAAGAAATCTTCAAACTCATTATGCTAAAATCTTGTCCTAGTTTATTATCCTTCATTCTATTTCAAAAATACTGTTTACTTGGCAAATTCTAATGATCTCTGAAATTGTGGAGATAGAACTTATGTGTTGTGTTCCACTTGAAATTTCTGGTGTAAAAAATGCAGAAATGCAAGGAAAAGAAGAAGTATTACTGTATGTATTTAAGTGGTAAATATGAACTTCGAAGTACAAAATCAACTCAGTATCCAACCGGTGGGAATGCAATCATCATTAAGTACTTAGTAAGAGGCATTCGTATCATAGATCATCATTAAACAACTTAAAAAGATGAAAAACAAAAACGATCAACAACTTAAAATTGGAACATCAGAAATGTGCCCTTTACTGTCATGTAATTAACAGCTCATGAACAAATTAATGAATACACAAGAGGTCAGGCAATAAAACCCAGAATAAATGAGATACCAACAAATCTAAATCAATGTAAAATTTGCAAGCAAGAAAGCTTACATGAACTCCAATCCATTCTATTCACTTCAAATAATATTTATGCAGCCAGCAGTATACCACCAGCTGGATGGGAACTACCACTCACATGAGGCATTGCATCATCTCTCCTTGAACATATAAATGATCTTTTCCCAAATGAAGGATTTCGGATCAAATCAGGCACTTCTTTCCCACGACCAGGAGTTGATTGAGCACTCCTTCTACCAACATATCTTTCACTACCAAATCTAGAAACCCGATTCCCTGATTTTAAATTGGGCTCATCTCCATCTGCATTACCCCGAAATTCAGACTCTCCATCAGTACCTGCCATAAGCTCCATCAGGTTGCTACTAAACCCCAAATCAGAGTAAACTCTGCGGGAATTCCTCAGGGCTTGCCTAGTCAATTTAGCATCCAAGGCTTCCAAATTCTCTTCACCAACACCCTCTAGCTTTGAACGGAAATGGGCATTCCTTGATTCAACCGGTTGTCCCATAGTCTCTACCATTATACATGGATTATTAAAACCATTCCATGAATGCAGGGGGACCAACTTACTCAACCCAGTAAGCCAAACCACCACCTCTTTCATCGATGGCCTACGCTCCCTACAAGACCTCACACACTTGGCTGCAATGACAGCCAACTGCTTCCTCACAATAGGGTCTTTAGGAGGTTCAATTCTTGGATCATAAACAGTTATCAGCTTCCCTCTCTTTATAAGTGGAATCGCCCAATCGACAATACAAGGTGGAGAATACGCAACATCAATGGCTTTCCTACCACTTAGAATCTCCAACAACAAAATCCCAAAGCTAAAAACATCAGTTTTAGTACTCAAATTGTCAGGGGTCACATAGCAAGGGTCCAAGTACCCAATAGTCCCCGCCGGCGGG